TTTTTGAGCTCACATAGACCTATATTTTCTTGAGATTTTGGACAAGCGATGATTTTCCTACTCTGATTTATCTGATTACACGAATAAGCCAAATATTGCACTCCTATGATGAATGCAGAGAGCGGCGAAAAAGCGGTGTCAAAAGCATATGGTTGAGACTGATGAGTTTGTCTCGGGAAACGCTGAAGGTCTTTCCATGGATCCAATTACCATCTCCACGGCATATTTGAAGATGAAACAGCTATGTAAAAATATAGGTGGTGAAATTCAGGCTGATATCAAAATTCATAATCAGCATATACTACCAAGGTATGTTATATATCCGAGCTAGAGGAAGTTATTAATGAAATCCACAGGTTTTACGAAGTTGAACGAACTTCACCAGGACGGTTGGGTTGTTACTGTACTTTTAGTAGTATGGATATAGAGAATTGAAATACAATTTTTGGATTGGATGTGCTTAGAATAGATCTTGACTCATGCTACCATTTTGTCTCAGTTCGATTGACCTGTCAAACATCACCGCCGCCGTTTACAGCACTGAGTTGTTCAACAGGCTTAGAGGATTCCTCTCTGCATGGCCTCCATCTGGTCCATTGCCTTTCGTAAATGAGCTTTTAGTAGCTACTGCTGATTTTGAAAGAAGCCTTGAATCATGGAATATCAGGTTTTTGAAAATCATTTTTCATCTGGAAAAATGAGATGATTGTATTAGAAATTTGATTTTTTCCTGACATTAGGAAATCCTTCAGTTCTGTGCAGGGTAGCGTAGACTCGAGAAATCTTTTCCATAACTATATAATGGTGTGGGTACAGGATATGCAAATCACTTTGCTGGATATATGTAAAGCAGAAAAGGTACGATCTCTATCACTACCATCTCTTTATGAAGCAGAGTTGCAGCTCATTCATTCTTTCTAAAAAGTTGTTGATCAGCCTCTAAGCGAATTTTCTCGATTGAACAAACACAGATGCCGTGGTCTGGTGTAACAACAAATTATTCTACTTCACCATTTGCTGAGGAGATGTACGAGAAAATAAAGGACTCCCTCGTTCAATATGAAGTAGTGATCAATCGATGGCCTCAATATTCATTGATTTTAGAACATGTAAGAATCTAACTATCGTTGTTATCACATCAGAGGTCACCGTCGTTCTGCCATTTCATTTGTAATCTACGCTTACTCATAATGACATGTTTATTGGAGTCAATGCTCAACCTTATAGCATTCTCAGTTCCCTATTATTTTTCTATATAGGCTGTTGCAAATGTCGAGAGGGCAATAGTAAAAGCACTTGAAAAACAGTACAACGATATATTGACACCTCTGAAAGATACCATCCCAAAGAGGCTGAACATGCACGTTCAGAAGCTAACAAGAAGACAGTCAATGGCAATGTACTCCGTTCCTAATCATGTAAGTCTTTCCCTTGTACCCCATGTATTTCGTTATTTACTTTTGCAATATCTGGATCATACTTGCAGTTTGATTTTTTTTTTTTTTTTTTTTTTTTTTTTTTTTTTTTTTTTTTTTTTTTTTTTTTTTTTTTTTTTTTTTTTTTTTTTTTTTGGTGGTTAAATTATAAATTTGTTTGCTTAGAATTTGGCTCCTTTAATTTTAAAACTAATAAAACTCTAAATAATACTTGGGGTAGAGACTAGTTATGAAAGTTTTATCAAACCATAATAACTGATTAGCATTTAAAAACTACAGGAACTAGTTTCTAGCCTTTAAAACTACAAGGAATAAATTCTATCTCAAAATCACATAGGAACTAAATTTGTAATTTAACCTTTCTTTCTTATTTTTAATATTTTCATGTTTCACGACTTGGAAACGATTATTGAACAGCTGGGAATGTTCCTCAATACCATCAAGAGAATTCTAGATGTCTTACACATTAGAGTAGAAGGTATCTTGAAGTCGTGGGCATCCTATACGCCTGTTGTGGGAGACAAGAGGTCACTGTTTGGAGAGCAGATGAATGGAATCACGGTCCTTTTGAGGACGAAGTACAAAAACTACTTGCAAGCAATTGTAGGGAAGCTCATGTGCAATGTAAGTTTACATCACTTCATAATTCTCTCATGATATACAATTTATTCTGATTTTTCAACTTTCTTCCTTGGCATTTTGAGCCAAGTTCGAAGGAACAATCTTTAATTCTGCAAAGTTAATGATTTTGAATTCACCATCAGATGCAAGCCAACCGTAATACACGGCTGAAAAGGATTTTGGAGGGAACGAGGGAAGAAGAAGGGGAGCACGAAGTTCGTGAAAGAATGCAAATGCTAAGTGCACAACTCATTGATTCCATATCGAACTTGCACGAAGTCTTTACAGGTCCTATATTTGTTACAATATGTCGGGGGTTCTGGGACAGTATGGGACAGGTAAACTCAAGAGAATACATTAATTTTCCTCATAGTCCTCCATCCACCGCCCATTTAGATCATTCTAACAGGCAACCACGCTATTTTGGAACAGATCGTGTTGAAATTTCTCGAAGGCAGGAAAGAAAACAGAGTATGGTACAATGGATCATATTACGCTCTGGGGGTAAATTTCAATGCACCCGCATGATTCTTTATTCTTTAAGCAAAAGAATGCTCTTTTCTCCTGTATTTTTATTGTGAGATCCGAGGTTGGTTGGATGGAGAGAAGAAACATTAAGGGTGTGTAAGGGTGTGTTGGTTGGAGAGAAAAACTAAATATTCCTTATAAAGGGTGTGTTGGCTAGAGAGAAGAATGAAACATTACTCGCGTGTGAAAATCTCTTTCTAATAGAAGCATTTTAAAAATCTTGAGCGCGAGGCCCGAAAGGAAAAGTCCAAATAGGACAATATCTACTCTGCGGTAGGCTTGGGCTGTTACAAATGGTATTAGAGCCCGACACCAAGCGGTGTTGCCAGCATGGATGCTGGGACCCCAAGGAGGGTGGATTGTGAGATCACACGTTGGTTGGAGATGAGAACGAAACATTCCTTATAAGGGTGTGGAAATCTCTCCCTAACGGACACTTTTTAAAAACCTTGAGGGGAAGTCCGAAAGGGAAAGTCCAAAGAGGACAATATCTGCTAGCGGTGGGCTTGAACGGTTATACTCCTGCATGTGATAATTCATCATCATGAGCTCACAATGGTTCGATCCTTTACTCTATGTATGTAGATATTGGATGATACATTTGCTTCCCAAATGCAGCGATTACAAGGAAATGCAGTGCAAGAAAAGGATATTGAGCCTCCTCGTTCAGTCGTTGAAGCTCTATCAATTCTCAGCAGGGACTCGGCAAATGCCACTGACACTGCAACTTATTTATATCTCTGATTGTTTTAACTGGTATGGCTTCTTCAATTCATTCATATACATAGATCAGGTGTAATATTATTATTCATATGCATAGATCAGGTGTAATATTATTATTCATATGCATAGATCAGGTGTAATATTATTATTCATATGCATAGATCAGGTGTAATATTATTATTCATATACATAGATTAGGTGTAATAGTATAATTCATATGGGGGCGCTATTTGCTATTTAGAAATTCGTTGTTTTGATTATTCAATTTATGTTGATAGGTTATATTGATGTATTATTATTATTCAAAGGATCATTGTTCTTTCTGTACATCATTATTATTCAGTTCTTGATAAGATCAATAAAGGCAGCTTCTTGATTTTCTTCCCGTTGAGTGAGTTTATTTCTCTTACTTGATGATGATGCTTATTTGTTGCTTGCGATAACCATCGCATCCGCTGTCTCGAGGATCAATATTTCAATTATTCTTCTTTTTTCAATTTTAACATTTTTATGATTGCTCTTATGACTTTATCTTGGAAGATATTGTGACTATATTGAATATATTATTCTCTTTTATCATTTATTATTACTCTACTAAATACATGAATGATTAATTAGGGTATTTATATCATCTGACCGACTATTCAACCCAATTTAGGTTGGGTTAGATTTTTTTTTCCGATTTGAGTTGGGTCGAATATTTGGACAGGTCAACCTATCCACCAATTAGAGTTACAATTCAATCAAAATTTTAAAATAGATAAAAAAAAATATTAAAAAAGTGTGATGCCATCCTGGTAAATATTTGAATTTTAAATTTTAAGATATTTTAGTAATAATTTAAAAAAACAACTTATCAACTTACTCCATAGGGATTTTTTTAATTATTTTAATATAACCTTTTAAATTATTAAAAAAAAAACCAAATAAATATGATTTTTTTAAAAAATAATTAATATAACAAGTACACTAGTTGAATAATAAATTCTATTTGGATTATCAGATGGAATTGTGATAGGAGAAAATCATTAGAAATAATGTCTAATTGAAGTGGGGGAGAGACACAACCATATTATGAAGAGAGTAGATTGTGACTCTCACGCTGAGTCGAACAAAGCGATGACCCTCACATTGAGTCAAACAAAGCAGCGACCCTCACATTGAGTCAAACAAAACAGCGACCCTCACATTGAGTCAAACAAAGCAACGACCCTCACATTGAGTCAAACAAAGCAACGACCCTCAAGAGGTGCCCATTCAACCATGCAAGGGCCAATATAGAAGGATGTCATGATACAATTGAGAAAGATATGCATCATCCAACACACCATATAACATATTGCATTGAAGAAGAAATGAGGCACAAGCAAGATATGGATAACGAGTAGACATGAGCATCACAAATAGACTTGTTGAAGGGCCCAGTAGAGCCTCAAGTCTTAACCTCGAAAGTTGGAGTTCCAAAAGAAATTTGGACTGGAAGCAAGTCACCAACCCAAAATTTTGGGATAGTCTAAAAAAAAATTTCAACCCAACTCAACTCAACCTACCACCTACATCTACATCTACATGCTCATGCCTTGCCCATGCCCTGAGTACTCACCTCGCTCAAGATGATTATCATTACTTTGAAATTCCTTCTCCCCGGAACTTCCACTTCTCATCTGTTAATTGTGGCAATCTTGGCATGGATTCCAGCAGAACCAAGGAAATGGAACTCTTATCCCAAGTAGTAATAACTAAGGTACAACAAGATAAGGACCAACAAAATGTCAAGACTTGAAACAAAACGGCATTACTACCACAAAGGGCTTCTGTTTCTAATAGCATTAAAGCAGTAGCAGCAGTGGATACTAACTAGCTAGCTAATCAACATCTTATAAACAGGCTTAATAAAAGGACATGTTACTTAGGATAACAAATATTACTTCTGGCAAGTGGCTGATGATGCTCATCTCTCCCTTAGAATCTGTTAATTTCTTCACACCATCTGTAGGATGGCTATTCATCCCATACTTGCTGAACTCCATATTAGTTTGTTTTACACGATCAAACGAGCCAGATCAACTTCCTTTTCCTTGATGAATTTGCTGGAGAAGAGCAGCTGCAAGCTGAAGCGTCGCTTGCAGGCGTTTCTGTGGATCTGGTTCTGATTCTCCACCTACATCAGAGTTTTGAACCTGTTGATTATTGCCTAAAGCCCCTGCTGTCTGAATCTCTCTTTGTGCTGTAAGGTGCCCAGCAGGAACGTTCGACATCTGATTCGACATCTGGTGTTGTTGTACATGATGCATCTGTGGAACTTGAACAAACTGAGATGTCTGAGGCTCAGAGTTCATCAGATTATTCTGAAAAGAACCATTTTGGGACCTTGCCAATTGTACAACAGATTCATTCACCTGGTTTCGCTGCCTCAATTCTTCATGCAAGGCTGCCTTTGGCGTGCTCCCCGACTGCCTTTGATGTCCAAGGAGAGAGGATGCTAATTGCACCAGTTGGTCGGGCGGTAGGGAGGAAAGAGTAGTTGCCAAAGAAGCTGCCGGTTTTGTTTCTTGTTGAGTTGTAACACTAGAAAGCCCAACTGCGTAATTACTGTAACCTGTTTCCTCAATTTCCCTTGGAATGAACAAAGGGCGTTCCTGAATAACAGGATCCTTGTTGGAAGCTTGTGACTGAAAATTTCGAAAATCGACCATTGAATTCTGTAGATGGTGAGAAGATGAGCTCGGTCCCATGGCATTTAGCTGTTCTTGAATTGGATAATCAGGCCTGCACTCAACATATGGGTCAGACAAATTTCCAACAGACTGTGATGAACCATGAAATAACACAGGAGAAGCAGAAGTAGCAACATTCCTGGGGAATGATGTAGTATTGATTCCAGATTTACTGAGATCAGATAAAGATGGTGGTATTGGGGTAAAAACAGCTGGAGACGGCGGTAGTTTTGTATATGATGTTTCACTATGTAAAGGTAAAAAATTTGTGTCTTTTGTTTCGTTTTGATAAGGTGGAGGCCTTGCACTGGTACCAGGACGCTCTAGCCTCAGAATTACCCCTGAAATGCTCAATTTACCTGGTACTTTGAGCACTTTTTCTGAGAACTCAGATGGTGGTACAAGAAACAAGGTGGTTCTGTCATCCAACTTCGAAACAGCTGCTCGTTGCTTTTCGCCGAGATAGTTCATGAATTCATTGTAGAACACGATATCAGAATCGCTTTCAGGTACAAAGAAAACAACCCAAGCACTAGCTGCTTCATAGTAATGCTTTGAAAGCATGTCTAAACCAGTTCTTGCCGTACAGTCTAAGAACTCTGGCCTGCAGAATACGAGTTCAGTTTCACCAGTGATCTATATGGGTTTTAATAGAACTTTTTTAGAAGGCGAGAGAAAGTTTTCCCTTCCAATCATTCGCACACAATTTACAATGAACAATCCAGAATTCCATGAAACTTAAAGAGAGGACAAGAACCAAATACCAGCAGAACCAAATCTGATAGCATAAAACTGAAGGAAATTTTGGAAAGAAATCATCAGAATACTTCTTTTGAAGAAAATCTTCTGAAAAATTTCCTCTTGTCAATGAGAAAAAACTTTAACCAGATCTTCAATGAGACTTCAAAACTACAACTACCGTGAAAGGACAAATTATTGCAAGGTAATTAAATCATTTAACCAGATCTTCACTAATAATAGAGGCCAGAATAACAAAAATTAACAGTTTCCTACATGCTTCATCCCCCAGCTCAAATAAAGCATTTTTTAAAGTCAAATGAAACATTAAAACCTGTCTCCAACAAAAATATCATAAACAGAAAGAAAATGAAATCTTCCATTGCCATGTCACTCCCTAAATATACCTTTCATGGAAAAAAGAACACTGCCCGATGAAAAGCAAAATTAAGATAGGATTAAAGTGGAAAGAAGTGCATCAAGTTACAGGAAGAGGAAGGGATGTGGATCAAATTCTTGTTAATGGCCTTGAGGTTAAATGAGAACAGATAAAATCAGCATTATAATTTTTTCAGCACTTGATTAAAAATGATTTAAGTGGGAACAAAAATTAAAAGGAATATCAAATACTTACAAAAGCAAATCCAGAACCTTTCCCACAGGAAAACAGCGGGCACGACAAACAGGTGTTCCTCCCTTTGCAATAGTTCCTTCCCATTTCCACTCTTTTATAGACGACTGTTCTGGATCAGGTGAGAGCCTTTTCCTTGCAACAGCATTCGATGGCAGAGAATCAGGACCCTGAAAATTATCGTACGGTTCCCTCCAGTGTTCACTCTTTTCTCCATAAGGGTCAGGCATTGTCATAGGCTGATCAGGCTGTTTATACCCCAGAGGCGGCCCAGACTTCATCTTATGATCAAAGGCCTCTGATCGGGGAAAATCAGGGTATAACTTTGGAATAATACGTTTATCTTGTTCCAAATCAGATATAGGATACTCAGGGAGCTCTTTATCCTGGGGAAAGGGTCCAGTCTTCAATTTCTTGGACCCGGGATATACGTTCGTATCCTCTGGCAAGTCCCATGGATCGTCATAAAATAGACTAGGTTGAGAAAATCTTTGAGGGAAGTTATTTAAATGAAGACCTCTCTCTTTTGTCGGGCTATCATAATGTTCATACCTATCTTCGGATAGACCTAATTTGGATGAGAATTCTCCAGACCTCTTCATTTCAAATGCATTGTTTCCACTGGTCAATAAATTGCTTTTCCTATTAAGACCACGGGAATCAAATTCTCCAGAATCTAAGTTTGAGAAAAGGTGAGGAGATCTTGGAGAAAGAGGTACATTCATTGAGTTCCTTCCACTGTTTGATGATCCAGAATCACTTTTTGCGAAACAAATATGTACTCGGGGATTACCAAATAGTTTCCCTTGTAGTGTTTCTTTCGCCCTCCAAGCTGATGTCACGCCCCGAAAACGAACAAAAGCATACGTCCGACCAGGGAACGTTGTAATCTTATCAATTTCCCCAAATGGTGAAAAGGCCCTCCTTAATATCACTTCATCCACTTTTAACAAAGCTGGAAATCCTATCCATAACACTTCACTAGGCTCTGCATTTTTATCATTCATTTTGGACTTTTCAGGATAAAATTCGTCAGGACTAGCATGTCGTCCCTGTGAGAAGGAACCCTTCGCTCCAAGATATTTATCCTCTCGGTGTTGAGAATAGGCTTCATCACGTGATGATGCAGATGGCTTATCCTGAGAGTAAAATTCTTATTAATGGCACAACAGCCTATTGACTGAATAAAATGCTCTGAATTATAAATTTTCAAAGTTAATAAGAGAGGAAAAGAGCCAAGGATGACGAAGATAGGGAATGGAATTTTTTTTTTTAAAAGAATAGGAAACAATAACTCTAAACCCCTTCGCCTTCACACACTCAGACACTTGATTGCTTTGGTTGTCTCCCATGTTGTGTTGTGAAAAGTGACAGTTTTTCTTTTCACAGTGAAATGGAAATGGAAACGGAAACTGACTGAGAAAGGCTTGTCATCTTAAGTTGGGTTGATTCGTAGTCTCAGGGGCAAGACTCTAACCATGACTAATGTCTGTAGGTTGAGAAAGTGAATAATTTTCAAATTTCCCGGAATGACTTGGGGGTGAAGGATCATTCTCTAAAGGTTCAAACTCCTGAATCCTCTCCTTAAGGTTTTGGCATTATGAAATGTTATCATATTCCCCAACACCCCCCCCCCCCCCCCCCCCCCCCAAGAAGAAGAAAAAAAGCACACATACACATATTTCCTTTTCACAGAACCAATACAAAATAGACACAAGACGGTTGAATTCTTCATAAACCTCACGAATGGTGGAAAATGAGTTGATCTTGATATAAAGTAAGAAGTAGTTCAAACATTAATACTTTATAACGGCTTTGAGGAACATTTCAATGTTCACTAGTAGTTTTCCCAGTCCACCATTGTAAAGAATATGATGACTAAACAAAAAATAACAAAGCCTCGAGTACTTCAGGAGTTTTCCCAGTTCCCACTATTCCTTGAGATTTATAGAGCTGCCAAAGATTATATATGGTGGAAATGATCCAAATTAAGCAATCTCTGTACAAAATTGAAAAAATAAAAAAGAAAAGAAAAGATGTACACTATTTACATACATAGAGACACATACACAGCATGTCCTGTGTGTATATGAATAATCTATATCACTTTTTGATGTGTAAACGGAAAATTTCTCCAACCTTTTTCAGTTGTTTGGAATGAGGAAAAGAGAGAGGACAATTTGTCCCAACTTAAATCAAGTCAAACCATCAGAGATTACAAAAAGCTCTCCAATTGGCAGATGCCAAAAAGGAATAGTTGCACAATCTAGCTACAAGGGAGAAGATTGTTTCCTCAATAATCTGTAAACAATTTTTAAACAAAAATCCTCTAACAAGATTTTCCAAAAGGTAGCCATCACCACACAAAACCCAACCTTCATCAGCTCACCTTCAACAAATTTTATAAATATAACTCTTGTTTCATTAGTATTATTATTATTATGAAACATAAAATGCAATATTAAGCCAACTCCCAAATCACACCCTAAAGCCATGAAAGAAGTCCCTATGTCAAAGGGGGAGTCAGTAGTCCCACAGAAGGCCTCCCTAAGCTAATAAGAAGGAAGGGGTTTGTTACAATTTGAGGCTGTATACTGCGACAATCACAACGGCTCAGAAAAACAACCAAAAGGCAAAGGGACAAGAAGTCACGCAAAAGACCTCCCAACTAAGTTAAATAATTATCCAGTCTAACTATTTAATACCTAAATCAATGACCCAAACAGGGGTTTGGAACCAACTCTTTATCAGTGTACCCTGTGCTCAACCCTTGGAATTACAATTCACGATGTTCAACTGATGCACATTTTTGTCGTCCAAAAAAAAAAAAACACCTCTCATTCTCATAATGAAATCAGAGATTGTCTGGAAACCACTGAGAAAATGAACAAGTACAGATACGTGTAACCAAACATTCATGTGGACCACAGACTTAATCAAGTACACCATACTAGTTGTTCAGGCTGAATATTATATGGGCTGGACTTGCACAAATCAGGCACGAACCAACCGTTCCTTTCACATAATGCAAGCCTCCTCAACCATAAGACTGTTGGTTTGGTGTGTGGTATCTATTGTATGACATGCTGACCATTTAACATTCTTGAGATTCTTTTTAGTTTTGTGATTAATTGAGCAATTAGACTTCTGTGTTTTTATAGTTAGGATAAAATGAGGATATTCTACATATCCTTTTGCCTCACTCCATTCTTCATCGAAGGCCATGCTTTCCTCAGCACTATAAACCCAGCCTACACGGAAATATTTGCACCTAGATGCTACAAACAACCAAGGCAGTGAAAATGCATCAATTAGGAATATAAGCTATATAACTAGATAGTTTTCTCTGTATTCCTTTATAAAACTTTATATATATATATATATATATAAGAAAGAGTTTATCATGTTTTGTTAACCAGAGATCTCAGTAAAATGTTTTAAAGTTCTCAATTAGAACTTAGAAGCTGCTTCTGATCAAGGGAAGTTACACATTCTTTCAATCTCATATATAAAGAAGTGTAAGCAAACTAATACAGCTCAGGTATGATGCCAAACAATACTCTTCTCAACTCATGCATATTAGGTACATCACCAGTGCATCTCACAGGTTATATAAGATGTAAGTGTGTGTCCTTGGAATTGCTTTGAGCACAATATACTCACTTGGGCTCCACTGGAAAGTTTATGCACCATATAAAAGTATTTCTCTATTAAATTAGAATCTGATTGTGTTTATTGAAGTCTACCCGGTGAAAATAAGAGATTCCTCTGTGATGTTTAACAAGATTAAACATAAAATGCATTTCTCAATTACATTAGAATTTGATTGTGTTTATTGAAGTCTACATGGTGAAAATAAGAGAATCCTCTGCGCTGTTTAACAAGATTAGATGAATAGTGAAATGAATCTTCATTCCCTATTCAATTTCAATAATGTAACCTAGGGTTCTCAACATGTTTTGAGAATAGCCTCTGCCTTTTCAACATATTTTGAAGAGTCGCAACAATGGCACGTGGAAAGAGAAATTCACTCAAAATTGAATAGTCAGTGTCTATTTAATGATGGATATTGTGCATTCTTTGAATGTCTTTTTACTATTGCGTATTGATCACAGCATACAAAAATCAAAGCAGTAAAAAGTCTTATGAGCTACATCTTATGAGTTTTGCTGCCTTATGTAACATTGAGTGATCATGTCAAATTGCGAACATTTAAATTATGCAAGGCTTCTATTCAATGATGAGAAGCTGCAAACAATGGACATTATCCACTAGAAGAAAAAGTAAGCTTCAACAATAATTTCAATTTCCACTGTAATTGTACCATTTTCAATATTGTTATTTGCTACACTGAAACCTAAAGATGCATCAGAAGATAAATAATAGAGCAGCACTAACTAGGTAAAGAGGAAAAAGAACTCAAATATAAACTCTCCATTGCTTACATGAAGTTGAATTCAAGTAGTTCTATGACAAAATCTTGATGTATGGCCATGTTTAGAGGTATTTTATACATATTGCTTAGCTGAGAGTGTCAACTTTTTCTTGCATCAGAAATATCCTCTCATATGATGATGGAAGATATGGTCGGCTTCCATTACCATCTATAACTTTGTTCATTGCAGAATTTACATCATCAGATTATCCCAATATATCCATTTTCATTAGGTGAAGTAAGTATAGTGCAGCAAAGTTAGAGATCATGGATACTTATAAGTTGGTCAAGATAGTTTCCTTTCATCTATGACCTTCTCCCTGAGTGTACTATTTTCATTAGGTGAAATAAGTATAGTGCAGCAAAGTTAGAGATTATGGATAATTATAAGTTGGTCAAGATAGTTTCCTTTCATCTATGACCTTCTCCCTGAGTGGTACCATTTTCATTAGGTGCAATAAGTATAGTGCAGCGAAGTTAGAGATTATGGATAATTACAAGTTGGTCAAGATAGTTTCCTTTCATCTTATGACCTTCTCCCTGAGTGGTACCATTTTCATTAGGTGAAATAAGTATAGTGCAGCAAAGTTAGAGACTATGGATAATTGTAAGTTGGTCAAGATAGTTTCCTTTCATCTATGACCTTCTTCCTGAGTGGTACCATTTTCATTAGGTGAAATATGTATAGGGCAACAAAGTTCGAGATTATGGATACTTATAAGTTGGTCAAGATATTTTCCTTTCATCCATGACCTTCTCCCTGAGTGGTACCAATAAATTCCATAACTCATAGTCAAGGAACATTGAGGTTTCTATAATAAGGGGGATCATACCATACTTGAAAGTTTAAATTTGGAGTTTTGATATGATGTGCCTGCCTAATTGTTGGTATATCATGAAGACCTTCAGTACAACCTAGCAGTATCTGAAACTCTTTTAGAGATCCTTCCTTCAAGAACAAACTCCAATCTTCCATGTGGCACACAGTTCTACCATTTAATTGATATAAACATCCACAGAAGCAAACGCACACACTTCAATGATACACTATGAGGCAACCCTCTACACCATGCAAATCTGGTTTGAACGTTGTCTCAACGGTTGATCAAGTAGATGCTTATGCTGATTTTATGTGAAAGAAGATGTAGATTTCTTTCTTTGGACATTAACTCATAAAATTAATAACTTTTTGCATTGTAAATAGTTGAAAGGCTTGTTTCTGGAACTGCAAAAACCCTGTGTAAGTAGCATCATTGGACTACTTGAGATTTATCAATTTAACAATAGCCTTCTACATAAGGGAATGACAAGCAATTACCATGCTTTAATTTTATTATTACACCTGTGAAGCATGTCTAACCCTTTAGTTAAGGATGTGTGAAGGAGGATTGATTAGATCGCAATGACATGAAATGATCACTAAAAGAATGTGCAAGATCCAGGACTTAAAGGATTGTTCAACTACAAATGTACGTCTATTTTTTGTACCTAAGATAAATCATAAGCTCCTTGATCGGAAGCTGTCACATCCCATGTTATTGAAACCACACTTTAAATGTTTCTATCTTTTCTAACCATACATCAATCAAACTACTCCTTGGTCTAGCCTTTTCTTCTTCTTTTTTACCTGGGGGTATTAAATTAAGCATGTTTGTGATGAAATTGTTGCGTTTGTTGAGTATTCGTCCTTTTGATTGAAGAATGTAATACCACTTGATTTGTATTTTATCATCGTCCTTAAGGGTCAACTGAGATTCATAGAAACTGTCAAGGCAGACGAGTGGAAGGCATTACATATGACCTCGAGCAGGTTTCCATTAACATTTTCGATAATGCCAGTTAAGACCTGATTGAACTATATAAACCATTAGAATTTTGCTATTGTTATACTGAGAACTCTGGAGAAGTGGTTAAATTCATGTAGTTCAGTGAGTTTTGGGTTGACTTAGAGCCAAGAATATCAGTGGAGGTCAGCATTGTCTTGAACGGAGTTACGAGAGCACTTGGATTAAGAGTATACAAGTGATTTGAATGGAGTGATCATTTCTCTTACTGTAGTTATTTTGCAAGAGAAATTTTATATTTTATCAAAGACGTACAAAAAGGAAACATGGAGAGAATTTGAAGAAAATAACAGATAGAAGAAGTTCGGGCAAGACTAACCGCCTTGGCAAACTCAATTCTAAGGGGATTCCCTGCAAGATCAAAACCTTGAAGCTCTCTCATGGCTGCAATTGCATCTTCATCCCTTCTGAAATTGATGAAAGCATAGCTACGACTGGGCTGGAAAGCAATACTGTCAAGCTCTCCAAACTGTGAAAAACAGCGGTTGATATCCCGCTCCACCACAACATGAGACAAATTGCCGATCCAGAGATGTCTCGACGGAGGATTACTGCTATTGCTATGCCCAGACTGCGACTTCTCGTCATATCTCGACGAATAATCTCTCCGGTATCGATCCCTTCCCCCATCAGCCCGCCCCGACTAACCATAAAAGAAAACCAGAAATCAAATCAGAGAAACAATCCCATTATCGAACACACATAAAGGCAATAATCAGAAAGAAGATTGCTTGAAGAACTCAACTAATACTAAGAGGTCAAAAAGAAACGAAAGAAACTCACCATTTCAACGTTGGTATCTGAATTCCAAGCAGAAAACAGCAAGAATCCGCAGGGATATTCAGAATCGCCCAAAAGAAGTTGAATGAAACTTGAAAGTAGTAATATCAAACAAAAATCCACTCGAACTGGAACTCCGTTTCAATTCATAAACAAAATCGAGAGAATGGCAGCTTACAAAGCCCTTGAAGGCTGAGTTTCTTCATCAATGCTCGCTCGAGCAAAATCTCGTCTTCGTCTTCGTCTTCGTCTTCGTTAGGGTTCATAATTCAGAATCTTTTATTACAATCCACTATTTATTTATTTATTTATTTCTTTTGCAGTCGCTTTGAACGTGGAATTTTTTTGTCCAATGGTAGTGCCAGCTCAGCCACAATGAAAATGTGGAATTTTCGTTTCCATTTATCTAGTTGGCAATTGGAATGGATTAAGGGTAAATTAACTTAATTACTTTAATAATACGGATTGCTATTTAACAATATAATTTAGTAAGTGAATGGGGGGCATAATTGTAATTTAAACCACGAACCTCTCAGATTTAGTAGACAATTCTTAATCGTCGAGAAAAAAATATGTAGTTCAACCCATCAGAAAATGGCATCACGCTCAAGAGATCGTGTCATCCCAAGACCAATACTGCCTTAAACCCCGTAAACGGGAGAACGAGGAGGAGGATTTTGAATTTCTTCTCGTGAAAGGGAAAGTACTCGTTTCTGAAGCTGTCGAAGGCAGAAGTGGCAAATAGCTTCTATCGAGTTCTCTAACACTTAGTTTGGTACTTCAACTCTTTTTGACTCACGTGACGTTGTTGGATGCTTCTGATCAACATGAAGGAGGAAAAAAAAAATTATGTCTAGAATTGGGATATCTCAAAAGAGAGTAAACATGTATAGAGTTTAACGACATCATACGAGGCAGTGGGAGGGTTATGTACCTCCTTTAGATATCTCGAGCCCCGTGCTTCTAATGTCGAGCTAGAACAAGAGCTACCACATTCACACATGAGTACCTTTTACCTTCCAATAAAAGCAACGACTAATTGGCATTTATGTTAATGGGAGACCATAAATAAAATAAAAAATATATATATTTGTTTTTTCTATAACAAATATTGATGATGGTTCACTAAATATTTTCTATAACAATCATTTTCTGATAATAATTATTCATTACATTTTTTTAAGATATTTTTCCTCATTTATTTTTCTTATATTTTTTAAATATACCTCTAAAATATTGAAGTGTTTCTAATATTTGTCGTAAATACTAATAAAAAATATGAAGACGCGTTATTTAGTTTAACTAAAAAATGTCAATTCGAGTATAACTTAATAGATAAGATATCAATTATCATTTTAATGAAGCGATAGGTTCAACGTTTTTCCTCTTGTAGAATGGAAAAAAAGAAAAATGTAATGGTTTTTGCTCAATCCCACCCGGTATTGCCCTATCCTATCCAAGCAAGTATTGTCCTGTCCTATCCAAACATATATTGTCTTGTCTTGCTCAATCCCACGAGCAGGTATTGTCCTGTCATGTTCAAGTGTCCTGTTCAAGCAGGTATTATCCTGTCCTATCCATGCAAGTATTGTTCTATCCTGTTCAAGCAGGTATTGTCCTAACCCATTGTCCGTTCAAGCAGGTATTGTCGAGTTTTCCCTTCCAAGCAAAGATCTTTTTAGGGCTTCTCCTCAAGAATTTAAAACGCGTAGGAAAAGATTTCCACACCATATAAATATGGTCTACACATACTACGTGATCACAAATTAAAAAATGACAATAAATTTTGAATACTCCCGTTTGGAGAGTTTGTATTCTTCGAACATCAATTTCATTTCAGTTTATTAGCAAAAAGTTCTCATTATTACCCAAAAAAAAAAAAAACAGAACTCTTCTGTCGACTAGAAGGAAATACGTTTTTTCTTCTCTTACATACCTATCGAAAACAAAACTATAGTGCACGTACAACGGGTTCAAAGTCGATAGCAACATTGATATCAAGAGCTCAAAATATCAACAAGAAATATGATAATTTGCATTTTCTTACATTTGATTTCTAGTATTCCTATTGGCTAAGTTTCTGAACAGATTACCACAGCTTGCAATGATAAACAAGAACAGTACCAAGGACAGGAACAGCATGAAAAAAATGCTTTCTGAACATGGTAGCAGACCAAGTTCAGAACACTATATATAGCAACGGAGTGAACCTCGAGCTTCACTCGATCCCGTCTTTAGAAGAGTGCTAGGTTGAGGCCCCTCTGCAAGCACATTCACGACTTCGAGTCGTCCCTTGCCTATCATCCACGATGTTTTCGGGGTTTATCTTCTGCATAGACAAGTTTCAACTTTTTATGTTAGAAGTTCAACAGTTTTGTGGTGCCTCCAATGGCTGCAAAGGGAGTGAGAGCTTACCAACTGAAGCTGGATCAATATGTACAAAGAAACTCGCAGCTACTATCAGGTAGCAGAGAATAAGCATCAGTCCTTTGAGGTAATTAGATGTTCCGTCCTGCAGGCTCAACATTGAAGTTTCGTTAAGAAAATGTTTCAAATCATCGTTTGTGTGAACGTGCACGTCCTTGTTGCTACTACTTCAACAGTACTACCGACTATTGGTGATCTTCGACCCAAGAAGGATACGAGGGACCTATACAGGGTCCCGTACGCAAAATGGCAGTGGGATCGGGTAAAACGACGGACAATCAAAACTATGCAAGGGTATTTACAGATTCCGAAAGAACTTTAGAGTACTTTTATGTGTAAATGCCTTAAATAAGAGAAGGTCGAAGCAGCATACCTGCAACATGAAGGCTACGACAATGACCGTTATGAAAAGCGTGGCAGTCTCGAAGAGTTGAAAATTCAAGTCCATAGGGCAACCCATGATCCAACCAATGACCACACAAAAAGGAATCTGCAGTCATATAAAAGTTTGTTTGAAAGAGCAAAGATCCATCCAATGAAGGTTTTTAACGGTAAATTTTGTTGCCGCTTATGCCAGATTGCGGAATTGGGCATTCGAATATATATGGTTCAACGTAATATAAATATATATATACTGTTAACAGACAAAAACCGTTTAACCATATGTAAGGTTGGAGATTCGAGGCTCTAATCTTTTAGTTGAAGATATACATTTTAACTAGTTGAATTAAGCCCGATGAAATACATCTTAAACCACAGAACTAAGCGCAAGGCTGTTGTTTAAAATAGCTCATGTGCAGCTCACTTATTTTCAAGGGCTAGAACTTGATGATATACCATTGAGAATCAGAAATATTGAATACTTAGTAGGTGATCGATGAAAAATGTGAGATCCCACGTTGGTTGGAGAGAGTAACGAAGTATTCCTTATAAGGGTGTGGAAACCTCTCACTAACATAAACATTTTAAAACCTTGAAGGGAAAGCTCAAAGAGAACAATATCTGCTAGCAATAAGTTTGGGCTATTCCAAATGGTGTATCAGAGCCAATTACCGGGCGGTATGCCAGCGAAGACGCTAAGCCCCAAGGGGGTGTGGATTGTGAAATCCCACATTAGTTGAAGGGAACAGAATATTCTTTATAAAGGTGTGAAAACCTCTCCCTAGCAAACACGTTTTAAAACATTGAGGGGAAGCCCTGGAAGGAAAAGTTTAAAAAAGACAATATTTGCTAGATGTGGGCTTGGGCTGTTACAAAAAACATCAAAATCTCGGGGGAGCGCAAAAGGGTTTGCTTCAAATTGTTCGATAACTGACAACTTGGATGGATGCAATGCTTCACTCGAGTACTAAAATAAAGATTCAACACAAAAAGGAGATTCGCCTCGAAAGGGTGAAGCATTCTAGACTACGAATAAAAAGAACATTATGCCAAAAAAATGACATACTAATAACAATAAAAACAAACAGCTTATTCAGGGAAGTAGCCAGAAAAATGCAACTAGAGCAGCACCAGCAAAAGTAACTCATTCAAGAAACTAAAACCAAAACACTGTGTAGAACTCACCCCGAACATAGATATCTGTGTAGACGATCCTATCGCGACTCCCAAAGAAATGTCCTACACGACACATGATTAGACAAAAAGACCTTACAAATCGTTTTGTTAAGATACATAAAAGGGCAAACACTTACAAGCTTGTCTTTCATGGCAAACATGATGGCTCCTGCATGCTCTGCAGCATTCCCAACAATGGGTAGTAGGATAACACTAATGAACGCTACCGGTATGTTCATGGCAACCGACGCCCCCTGAAATTGTTATCAAATATACCAAATAATTTAACAGATTGTTGCATTAATGCGAGAATTATCTTCACAGAGAAAAAAGAAAAATAGGCTACACAACGACGCAAACGAAAAGGAAGATTCGTAATAGGATGTATTAACAAATCAACAATACCTCTATTGCATTAACCAAGTATTCAGAGAGGACAGAGATCCAAATGGTCAAGATAGACAGCCAAGTAATGGATTCCCACATAGAAATCTCAGGAGCTTCTTCATCATCATCATCATAATTTTCATCAGTAACCGCCTATTGTATGCCAATTATTCGCATCAAACCACCAAAAATGGATCCAATTATCCGTACCAATCATGTAAGCGTTGTATTATACATCCAACAAAAAACGATATATTGAGTATCATTCACGATAAAAGAAAATTTATTCATGGCAAAAGTTGTTCCTGCAAGATTCTAGAGAACTTTGAAATACGTTTCTCAGCATCGATACTTTTCTGCATAACAGATACTGAGTAAGTCAGCAAAGACACAGAAACTTTCAAGTATAAACAGCAGAAGGAAGACATTGATACTCTCGTTCTGCGTTTGCGTACACAAGGAGAAATACAACAACTAGCACGAAGACAAGTAGTTAAGAGTTTGCTACTTGGGGGAGGAAATATGATAATTCTTTAGGGGTCAAGGTTCGTGTTCGTACCCTTCCTAACTAGCTGACTGGCAGACTCTATACTGGGTAGCTAAGGAGCATGAGAAAAGAAATAGGAGAAGAATATTAGGGATTTTTGTATAATAGCAGGGGAAATAATGTTAGAAATCATGAACCTCCACAATGGTATGATATTGTCCACTTTGAGCATAAGTTCTCATGGCTTTGGTTTTGGTTTCCCCAAAAGGCGTCATACCAATGAAGATAGTGTTCCTTACTTATAAACCGTGATTAACCCCTTAATTAGCCGATGTGGGACTCCTCTCCCAACAATCCTCAACCGTCCTCCCCTTGAACAAAGTACACCATAGAGCCCCCCTTGAGGCCTATGGAGCCCTCGAACAGCCTCCC